GACCTTTTGACCCATTAAAACTTATGAAATTTTACCTATTTATCTTATGACTTATGAAAATTTAATTACAAATTAATCTTAATTGTAATCATCAAAAAGTTTTTTTTTTGTTTAGTATTTTGACATTTTATTAATCATTCGAAAATTTCGGTAATTATAATTAAGATTAATTTTAAATTGAAAAATATGGCAAAAAAAAAAATTGCCTAACCTTTTATTTATTATGTAACGTTAATTTGTGAACTTTTGTAATTTAGAAATTATTGAATATATTTAAGTAATTGTTAAGCAATAATTAAACAGATTTGATTTGAAATAATTTTTATATTAAAGTAATTATTAAATATAATTATTATTAAGTAATTATTAAGTAGATTTGATTTGAAATTATTTTAATAATAGTAATTCAGATGAGATTTGTTTTGTTAATTGAAACGATTATTTATTCAAATGATAAAAGCGATGATATCATTTATGATGCGGAAAATGTTTCAACAATGATAACTAACTAAATCATATTTTAGGAATTAATTTAAATTTTTTTTTTTTGATTTTACAGATATCCAATAACAGTTCATTGTACAACTGGAATTGGTCGTTCAGCAACATTTGTTGCTATTGAATTGGTACTTGAAATGTTAAGTAATGGACAACATTGTATTATGGCTGATTTATTGTCGAATTTACGAAAGCAACGAGCACAAGCTGTTAATGTAAGTTGTTTTTTTTTTTTTTTGACATTATTATAAACCTGAAATAAATAATCATTGAAGAATTTGGTACTACAATTATGCTAATATCACATGAAATAGCTAAAATTCGATGCGTAAACATTTTTAAACTTCTAGTAATTAATTATTCGTAAGTGACGAATGAATTAAGGAAAATGTTAACATTAGAATTAACATCCTTGACATATATTGTCCTCAATACACATAACTATTCCATCATTTCTATCACTATTATTGCTACAGTATCCACGTGCAGTAATTAATATAATTATAAGTATCATTAGATGTTATAGTATGTGGACACATTGTATCACTTTTCCTCAAATAAAACATATTTGACATATATCACTCTCGATACTTATAACTAATTTCATCAGTTATATTACTATTGTTGCTACAGTATTCACAGTACAGTAACTAATATAATTATAAGTAATCATTAGATGTTATAGTATNTGATCACATTATACTCGACTTTCCT